GGGCAGAAGCCACAGGGCTAAAGCTTCCACCTGCCTACCCAGAGCTGCGCAGAGGGACAGGGGCAGGAGATGCAGCTGCAGATGGGGGAGCAGAACAGCACTGCTGAGCCCAGCTAGTGTGCATCTTCCCCTCACCTCCAGTGGCTGCTCCCCTCTCCCCCTGCTGTACTGCTCCCGGTGGTGAAGGGAGGCAGGGGCTGCTTCAACCCAGAGCATGGAGCTCTGACTTCAGCTCCATCTGCCTTTCTTCACCTGCCCGGCCTGATAAGTAACCCCTTCAGGGGTGGACGAGTGGGCGTGTAAAAGGAGCTGGAGCTGGAGCTAGATCTCCATGCACTGAGCAGAAGCTGCCAGGCTAAAGCTGTCCCTCCCACCCGTGCTGCCCGGAGCAGTGCAGCAGGGGTGGGAGGGAGAGGGGAATGGGCTGCTGGAGGTGAGGGAAGCTGTGCGCTGGCTGGGCCCAGCAGGGCTGCTCTACTCCCCTCACCTCCGGCTGTGGCTCCTGTCCCACCATGCAGCATCGCTTCGCAAGGGTGGAAGCTTTAGCCCATTAGTTTCTGCCCAGTGCCTGGAGCTCTGGCTCCAGCTCCGTGTGCTGGGCTGGCCTCCGTGCATCTGCCCTCAGCAGTCCCTGTGGGCTGGCCAGGCTCTGCCCCTCAGCCCTAGCCCCACAGCTGTGGGTGAGGCAGTCAGATGGTGCTATGGCGGCTGAATGCCTGATGGGCTGTTACACCCTGGTCAGGCAGACCTCAGCTGTGGTCCCCCGTGGGAGAGGGGAGATGGGGAATAAACCCCTTCCCTGTTCCCTTTGCCTCCGGGGGCCAGGCTGGCTGGCATCTGGCCATGCCCCCAGCTAGAGAGCAGAGGGGAGGGGCCAGCCCTACTCTGGAGCAAAGAGCACAGCCCAGCCCAGGGCTGAGGAGCATGCTGGGATCCTGGGGGACTCTGGTTTGGTTTAACTTAAACCAGAAAGGGGTCTGGGACAGAAGTTGCATAAACTGGTTTGACCCAAATCAGTTAAGTCTGATACTGCATTCAACCAGGTTTATCTTAAATCAGTTTTGGTAATTTTTTAAACTATATTATGTGCACTGAAGTTTCATTCTGTTACAGGTTTAAACCAGTTTCTGATCACTTAAACTGGTTTATGTGTAACTTCAGTCCCTAACCCTGGAGACAGGACAATTAAGGTTATTAATTAGTTGTTGTGACTGCAGTGCTCCCAATGTACACACTTCAGTGTTTTAGAACAATTGTACAGGAGAGGGTGAAAAAGAACTGGCATAGGAAATGTAGATGTCAACAGGTTTAAATACATTGTCCATGCCATTGAGTAGAACACTGGAGTTTTCTGGAGGAAGATAAACCTGATATCAGACCCCACCTTGCTGACTAGACTGGCCTGGGGCACAGGGGCCTGGGCTTTGTGTGGTCCTGAGATGGAAAGAGGCTTTTTTCAGATGGATGGAGATCACACTCATTGCTTTTGTGATGTACTGACACTGAGAGTATGACATTTGTAAGATTTGTAGACCACATGGTACAAAGAAAAAGAAGGAAAGAAATATATGCTTTTTTAATGATGTCTTTTATTACTGCTTGTATTTTAGTATCTTTTGCAGTAGAAAAGCTATCATGCAACCGAATCTTGGAGGATTCCCAGCTGGTATAGATAAAACTTTAAAAATTGTGGACCTGGTCCTGTCCTTCAGAAATACAGGTCACATTCCCAATTCACTGGGTGGATTTGAAACCTGAATGGACCATAGCGATCACTGCTGAATGCAAGTTTTTTAGCTAAAAATATTCTTAAACTCCGGTGTTTTGTTAGAGAACTGAAACATAAGACTAGTAAGGAAAACTGTTTAAGACATCAGTGAAGCATAAATATGTCATGGCCATCAATCCTGAAGTAGGTTTTCATTCTACTACTGGTTGATTTTCTAATTGTTTTTTATGGTAGAAGGAGGTCAGATTCTGGGATGGCCTCATGAACGACACATGCCCCCAGAGGCTGGAGGGGCATAGTGACCGCCTGCAGGCAGTGGTGGCGGTGGGGGTGTGGTGGCGGCGAGCGGGGAGCTCTTGCAGGCAGCCATGCCAGTGGCGGCAGCGGGGGTACCTGCAGGCACTACCAGCAGCATCGGCAGGGCTTCTTTTAGGGGGTGCTCCACCATCTCAGGGGGTGCACCTGCACCTGTGTGCACCCCCTACGCATTGCCAATGGATGGCCTAGTCGGTCAGGTACTGTTGTAGAACCTAAGCAACCCAGGCTCCATTCCCTCATGTGCCACTTACTTCGTGGGTGACTGCAAGCAGTTCATTTAGCCACCCTCTTTGGAAACTGTGCTCATAATCTGCAGTTCCTCTAACACCATTTACACCAAGTTCCTGCTAGTAAGATAGATGTAAAATGAACTGTAAGTTCTTAGGTAGAACTTCTATAGTTTTTTGTGCATAATCCCAGGATCTCTATTCCTAGATCTTAGCAAACAGTAGAAATGTTTCAGAACTTTTGAGGAGCAAATATCTCCCCAATAATTAGGCCTGTTGCTTATGCTTGCCTATACACCCTCTTGGTATCCAGAATTTGTTCAAAGAAATGACATCTGAAGGCTTTCTGATATTTACAATATTAAGAAAAAATTTAGTTCATTCAGAAATCGCTTCCTGTTGTGGCACTGAGTCTCCATAAGAATGGACACTGCTTTGCTCAGTAGTTCCATTATTTGATCTGTTGTTTTCCTGACTGCTGGAAACAGCCGCCTTCAGTTTTTCCTCAATACTATCAGCAACAGCACACATTTTGAGTTCTCTCAAGCTGCTGATCAAAGTTCTGTGTGCCCCTTTCATGCCGTGGGCTTCATACCAGTTAAGGAGCAATTTAATTTTCTGCTCAGCTGTATCATTCTGGTTGTCCTGAATGACTCGCTCTATGGTTGGTTCTGTTATTTGATGCCTCCGAACAAACGTTTTGACTTGGGGTAATGTCATCCCCTCTGCAATACTAGAAATGTGGGGGCTCAAGTCAATATCTGGAAATACACACAAAAAATGAAAATTAAAAAAAAAATGGCATTAGTATTTTACTACTCTTTTTCATTTTAAAAGTACTTCATAAAAGAAGAATTTGAAGCCTCAAACAGAGAGTGAGTGAGTCTAGTTTTTGTTGTATGCTTGTTTTTAAGCAATGGAGTTCAGATTAGGAATACCTTTGCTTGTTACACTTTCCCTCATATCAGGAAATCTAAATGCCCAGGGATGCCTCCATTTTCCTTTCCTGTGATGTCCTACAAACCTCAACTCTTTCTATATCACCTCCTTCTCCGTTACTTTTCTACTTCATGTTTGTGAAGTCCTGTTAAACAAATAAGCACTTATGGCCTTCTCAGAGCTGGGATATGAACCACTCCATGATGATACTTTCCTCACTAGACTCCAGCTTATGATGTCCCAGTTACTAATGTCCCAAAGCTTATCTCCAGGGCTCCAAGTCCTCTTACTATGTCATCTATAATACAGTGTGAACACCTCTGGCTTAGAAGTCCCATAATGTGTGAAAGTGGGACACATCAGCTCCTGGTTGCACATGGCAACCAGCTTGTTAGTGTATTTATTGAAATAATAGTGGGTCTTTTAATTGATTTTGTAAGATGAAGTCTCCAGAAGTTTGTGTAAGTTCACAAGGCTGATCCAAGCGGAGCTGAGTTTTTCCTGTCACTAATGCCTCTTGTCATGCATCACCTAGTAGATTTTTGCAAAAATCTTGTTGGTCTAATAAAAGATATCACCTGTGTCCACAAGCCCTGATCAGTTAGTAGATGGCATGCAGTCCTTACTGAGGCAGAACTTTTAAGATGCAGACAGAACTGCAGCTCCCCATTGTAACTCATGGCACTTTGCAGGAAGTGCTCTGGGTTAGAACGATCCCCTGGATCCAACATAAGTTTGCTCTAGGGTCCTGAGGGTTGGGGAATCCAGATGCTGACTGCAAGCCTGCAGCTGGTTTCACTTAGCAATGCCCCTCCTCCCTTCCAGTCCTGATACTGTTTTCAGAATGGGAGGAGGGAAGGGGAGTGGAGGGAGCTCATTCTAGGGGTTGTCCACCTGGCGCTGGAGGGTATTGGGGTGGGGGGATCAGAGGCCCCCACCTCGGGGGGACTCCAATCCACACAACCCACCCTCTAGTGCCATCTGAAAAAAAACCCAGACCAAACTCCCTCCATTTTCTTTCCCCTTTCCCATTCTGAAAACAGTGCTGGGGTTGAGACTAATTTAAAACTGGTGGCAGTTGTGTCCAAGCAAAGAGTGCTTGAGCTCATGTTTATTAATAGGATGGGTTGCATATCACCCAGGAGCAATAGCTGTCAGAAAAATAAGAGACTGACCTGGCATTAAACTTTAGCAAATATTTCTACACAATATATACATAATTTTTTCAAAATTCTTAGAAAGTATAATGTCTATTTCATACCTGTATATAGCAGAGGGTTTTCTTCCTGAAAATAAGGACAGAAATAAGTATTAATGAGACCTTTTGCAGTTTTTCTCGCTTATGCTATCCTTTTTCTTTCGTTAGATAATGTTTTGCAGCACAGCTGATTTGCTTCATTGGGCAAAACACACATTGCCCCTTGTCCCACCCTTCATGGAGCAGGAATTTTCCCACTCAGCTAGACTTGCTCCCCAATGATCCTGGGGGAATGGGTCTGACTGAGCAGGAACTCCTATTCTCTGGGGTGCCTCTCTGTAAGCAGGAAACCGGGCAGGTGCTTGTGGGGTCCTCAAACCCCCAGAGCACCTGCCCCTTGATCAGAAACTGGTTTAAACCTGTAACAAAACAGTTGTTCAGTGCATATAAACCAGTTTGAGAATGGCTGAGACAGGTTTGAGATAAACCTGGTTGAATGTAGTATCAGACTTAACTGATTTGGCTCAAACCAGTTTATGCAATGTCTGTCCTGGGCCCCTTGCTGGTTTAAATTAAATCAGACTCCCTTAGCATCCTGGCATGCTCTCTGGGCTGGACGGGGCTCTCTGCTCCACAGCATGGCTGGCATCTCCCCCCTGCTCCGTGACTGGAGTCTCTCCAGGCATCTGCCTGGCCTCTGCCTCCCCCCTGCCCCCACTCTGCTAAGCAGGCATTCCCCATCCATCACATTAGTTAGCAGTCCACATGTTGGCTACCTCCCAGCTGTGGCAAATGGAACAAAGGAAGAATCAACAGGTACCTGGTAATGTCCCTCTGTTTTCTTAATGGCTTGATAAACACTGAGTTATGGGTGATAAACATTCCCCACTGGGCTGTTTGGGAGCGGGGTGAGGGGAACTCTCCATAATCACAGCATCTTGCCAGGTCTGGCCACGCCCCGCTCAGCTTAGCTTTGTGCAAGGGAAGGGAGGGCTGCTCTAGTGCCCCACCAGCTTCTAGCCTGCGCCACTGCAGGCATGTCTCTGCATTTCTGGGATGTCTGTCTGGTTACAAAACTGATTTAGCCTAGCCAGGTTAGACTAATCTGCAAAGATTGAATCAATTCAGGCTCAAGCTTTTTGAATGTCTGTCCCTAGCCCTGGTGACTGAAGAGTAGGAACAGTTTAGGTTCATCTGTTCTCCCACCAAAGAGCTAACAGACATCAGTAATGAAGCAGCAGAGCCTATTACTACCTATTGTTGTGCCATTGATTTTTCTTTGATGTGGTGTGACAATGGGTAGCGATGTCTATTTGTTCACCATTTGTGCTATGAATTTTTTTTTTATGGTGGCAGAAATGAAATGTCAGGTGCTGTCTGTTTCCACCCTTAAATTAGCTAATGAAGCAGAAAGGGTAACATTAGGATGACAAAGTATCCTCAGCTGCGGGGAATGCATTGCTAGTCTGTGCATCCTAAGGCAGCACATGCCTTTAAAAAAGGAAGCTCATTAACTCATTTTTAACAGGTAATCTCATTAACTCAAAATGAGAGTTAATTTTCTTCCTTTCTAGTGTCAACGGTCTGTAATATTCCAGTGTAGAATTAGCTGAGGCAGATGGTCTCATATTAGCACCCTGGACTATGTTGAATTTCACCCATGCTAAGTAATGGTACTTACCCCTATCACATTCTTTGAATACTGCTGGTTAATAGTCAAGTTCTTGTAATTCTTCCTGTCTGAAACACACAAATTTGAAGACCTTTAAAAGCTGGTACAGAATTCAGGAATTATATCAATTCAGGAATGATACCTGATACATTTAATTTTAAGCAATTCAGATTCAGTTCAGTGTAAGAAAAGAGACTTACGCCGAAAGCAGTAGTACAGTATTCCAGCCAATGGCAGTAGTAGTATAAGTGCCGACAACATCCACCAAAAGTTTCCTTATAATAAAGACCATCAGAAAATTTTCATGAAGGTAACAAACAGAAGCAGATCTCTGTATAACAACACATTTCAAACCCTAGACAGGATCAAGAAGGCCTGATTGAGGAGGATCAAGAAGGCCTGATTGAGGAGGTCCTTCTGTGGATGAGTGAGCAGAGAGATGCAGGGAGTCTTTCCCTGCCCCTTCTCAAGTTACTGTGCAGGGGAAAGACAAGACATGGTTTCTGTTCTCTCCTGCTCCATGCTAGGGGCTCATTTGCTATACACCACTTTAAAAGGGGCAGATGATTGTTTTCCTTCTACACCTACCATCAGCCAGAAGCAGTGTCCACGTTCTTCCACTTTGTGCATTGTCAAGTGGTGCAGCTCCATGCTGCCTCCAGTGTGGACATTTGCCTATTGGCCAGAGTGGCCACTTCTGTATAGCTGCATTCTACCATCAAATACACAGGAGTTTTAAAAATTACCTTTACATACGGTATTTGAGGTTGGGGTGCAGTGTACGTCAACAATGCCATTTTCACACCTACAGAAATATGAACAGCTAATATTAATGTTTTTTTCATAGGAAAGGTAGAAAAACAACTCAGTCTGTCAAGAGGGTGAAGCAGTCACTACGTTCATCTATTCTTACCATCCTGTTCTTTAATATATGTTGGTATTAAGAATTTTGAATTTAATGAACAAGGAGCCTCTCAGTTTTCCAATGCTGCGAATTCTCTGTGGGTTTTTGTTCAGTTCCTAGTCATGAGTCATAGTGTAAATTATGTTAAGAATATTTTTATTTACAGACTGCACATTCAATTCCATGGACACATAAGGTGTGATGGGTGCTTTACTCTACTTAATTCATTATTTACTACTTAAAATCATTATCAGGACAATTACCTCAGCCAACTAGTCTGCTCCTTTGTAACTTGCTAACTTGAAACAGTCTTCTGTTCAGACTAATGGAGCACACACAAACAAAGGCAAAGCTCAAAAATTAAAAGTGGAAATTATTAAAATAGCCTCAGAATCTGCATGCAGATTTACCACATTTCTGCTTTCAAGTGCATATGTGCCCATGTGGTTGTAGAAACTGAATGCAAATTGAAGCCTGCGTAGTTGTAAACCTTGTGCAGACCTAAAGAAAAAGACTTATTTTAATTGAATTAACTAAACTAGCTTTACATCACTGAAAAACTCAGTAAACTATAACTTGACCACCAAAATGAAGTACAGCGTGCTTGACTATATTAGATGGGACTTTCACCATAGATGAGCTAGTTCTGTGAGCTAAATCATTTGAAAAGCAAACACCTTTTTACCATTCTAGACAGTGCCTTAGATGTGCCACTGAAGCTAGCTTAAAAACTGCCTCTGCCCAGAACATGATCTTATATAGTAAACTGATGAAATAATACAGGCCTAAAACTTACTTGTCACATGGTTCACAATGTTTTGTACATTGTTCAGAAACGCAAAAATAACCACTTTTACACCTGCATTTTGTATTGTGTGTGGTGGTACAGTTGTTTTCAACTTCCAGACCTAAAATAAATCCCAAAAGTTTGTTAATATTAGAAAAAAGCGGATACTCTGAGCATTTTAGTGCACTGTTTGCAAACTCTTCTTCTCAGGCTGCATTCATGTAGCTTTACTGCTGTGTGCATCACTATTATAATAGTATTACAATATTAATATATATTGTAATACTATTATATTATAATCAGGAGGAGCATGTTTTATACACGCTCCTCCTGATTATAGGACATTGGGAAGAGGAGGATAAGAATGAGATAAGATAAGAATGAGACATCTTAGCAGAAACTACAAAAAGGAAAGCTTACGCAAGATACTTTTGTTTTGCTGAAAGTTGCTTCTATACATAGCGATGAATATTAAAAAAATTAGCAGTTTTTCTTTTTTGTCCATATGTATACCTTTTGGCTAAGTACAGACAGTCAAAAAGCCTGAGGCTGAATTGATTCAATCTCTGTAGGCTAGTCCAAACTGCGTAGATTGAACTGAAGAGCAAGTGAACACACATTTACTTTTGATTCCCAAAATACTGCCACATACCTGCAGTGGCTCAGACCAGAAGCTGGGGGATGCTAGAGCATGCTTCCCTGCTCAGCTGGAGCAGAAAACTTGGGCAAAGCTAGCCCACCCACTGTGCGAGGGCAGGGATTCCAGGGGAAGTGCAAAGCATCTTGGGTTCCTTGGGGATTGAGAGTTAACTTGAATCTGGAGAAGGTCTGGGACAGAAGTTCAAAAAACTGGTTTACCCGAAATCAGTTAAGTCTGATACTACATCCATCCAAGTTTATCTTTAACTGGTTTTGCTCATTTTTATGGCTAAACTGGTTTTGTGCACTGAACTTCTGTTGTGTTACAGATTTGAACTGGTTTCTAATCACTTACACCAGGGGTTCCCCAAGCTTTTATGTTGCGGCCTGGCAAACCGTGGCCCGAAAGTGGCCATGGCCCGGCAAACCGTGGACCAGGGTCACAGCCAACTGTGGCCAAAATTTCTGGCTGGGAGACAGGTAAGGATACCCCTACACCCTTGGCAAGGGTGTGGGAAACCTTGTGCTGCTGCAGGCCCTGTGGAAGGAGCTGCAGCCTCTCTGCCCAGCTCTGGGGGACCGCAGTTTGCTGGTTCGTGGCCACTTCCAGTCCAGTCTGGTAGCCAACCGTGCTGTGGACTGGCAGCTGGGCCGTGGCCTGGGAATTGAGAACCCCTGATTTACACCATTTTAGATGTAATTTCTGTCCCTAGCCTTTAAGATTTGGGATTCTCTATTAGCTTCTGCACTGTAGAAACATTTTGTAGGCTTCAGGATACTTTTTAGGAGTAGATAAAGGAGGTAAAGTTTGTTATGTTAGTCTGAAGTCAGGCTGAAGGTAGGGTAGGGTTGTACCTTTGAAACTGATTTGTTTAGAGAGCTCCTTGAGCTTTTGTAGGCAACAGCCTACTACATTAAATGCTGTAAATAGATACAGAAAGAAACAATTTAATTAGAAAGAAAAGAGATAGGGGAGGGGGCATTGCTGAGAGGAAAAAAGGTGGGTAGATTTTATCAACAGGGATAAACAAGGCACTTAAAACACATTCAGGGGCACTGGGATTAACAGCTAGTCCAGAGAATGGGATAAGAATCCAAATTGTATTTGGATGATTTTGTGTTCCGCAATTTTGTGTTCAAACTCATTTTTAAAGTTTTGTCCTTTAAGAACAGCAACTCTGAAGTCAGTGATGGAAGGTCCAGAGATGTTATAAGTGTTACCATGGGCTTTGCATGTGGCTGGGGGCCCACGGGGGGGCATGGGGTGTACAGGGGTACATTGGGCTTTGCGTGTGGCTGGGAGCCACAGGGGTACATTGGAGCCCTTTGCACCCCTGTGGCTGGAGGCAGGAGCTGATCTGTGTTCCAAGCCTCCAGGGCACACTGTAGTTTTTGAGTCCACTGTGCCCCAGAAGTTGGGAGTGGTAGCTGATTGGGACTGCCAGCCTTGGGAGCACATCAAAGTCAAGGTTCTTTGAGGGTGCATGGGAGCCCTTGATTTTGATATACTCCCAAGGCTGGGATCAGGGGATCAGCTGACTGGCTGCTAACTTCCTAGATGATCCTGGGCTTCCTGCACACTGGCAGTATGGCACGATGGGGATCTGGTCCCCAGTCCCACAATTGCGTATTCTGCCATGCATGTGTAGCAAATGCATGTGTAGCGTGTCAGGAGGCACGACTGTTGGGATTGTGTGTCGGATCCAGTGGCACCTTTAACTGAATGTCTACCAGAACCTGCACTTCTTCAGCATTTAGTCTCTGACATGGGGCATGGTTTTCTAACAGGTTTGGTAACTCTTATTGATTTTTAAGTACTCCAGCTGAGCTTCAGCACCAAGAGGAAAACAACTTCTCTTTGGCTTGCATATGACGTCCCTGTAAATACAACATTTGCCTCTTTGTAACAGTGTCACAAGGTTGACTCATTCATAGATTTCATAGACATTAGGGCTGGAAGGGACCTCAGAACATCATCGAGTCCAGCCCCCTGCCCAAGGGGCAGGAAATCAGCTGGGGTCATAGGATCCCAGCAAGACAAGTATCCAATTTCTCTTGAAGGTGTTCAACATGGGTGCTTGAACCACCTCCGATGGCAGGCTATTCGAGACCTTGGGGGTTTGGACAGTAAAGAAATTTTTTCTTATGTCCAGCCTGAAACGGTCTTGCAGGAGTATATAACTGTTCGACCTTGTTGAACTTAATTTGTAACTTGCTCATCTCTTTCTTCTGTTCTGCAGGTAGTAGCTAGCTGTATATCCCCCATGTTGTATTTGTTCTTTTGACTGTTCCTTTCATCTTTAATGAATTTCATCTTATTGCTTTCAGATAAATTAGAGAAACTATCAAGATTATTTTGAATTGTGATCCAGTCTTCCAAAGACCTTACTGTCATCCACAAATGTATAAACTTACTGTATTCCATCATCTAGTACAAGATTACTACTTCCCTTCCTTTATTAGCAAAAACTCACTAGATACAAATAAGGATCACATTTGCTTTTTTGACAGCTCTATCACATAGGTGTCTCCTCTGTGAGAGAGACTAAAAGCTCCCAGCTTTTAGTAGAAACCCTGTTATTAGTCCTTGATGATACAAACTGGCACTTTGTATTACTGAACATTATAAAATTGTGATTAGTTTTCAAGGTCCATCCAGTGTTTCCTGCACGATGATTCTCCCCCTCATTGACAGTACCCCCAACTTTATCAGCAAATTTCATTAGCATGCTCCTACTTTTATGTCAAAGCCGCTAGTGAAAAAACAATGAGATCTATTCCAAGACTGATCCTTGAAGAATTTGACTAGTAGCCTCCTTTCAACACAAGGCTTCCCCTTTCATTAGAACCTGTTGTCTTTCTTGTAGAGTCCTTATCTACTGTACAATTCATGTATTAATCTTCACCTTTTCCATTTTAACTAAATTTTCCATGTAGCATATTATTAAATAGTTCAGTGAAATACAGATGTATCAGATCTATCACATTTCCCCTGCCTAGAAAATTCATTACATTATCAAAGAAGGTCACCACATTAAGTCAGTTTGGCACGATTTACCTTTGCAAACCCTTGTTGCATTTTATCTCATTTTCCACATCCTTATTCATGTCCTTATTCTTTCTTTTGAAATATGTTCTAAGATCCTGCATACTATTGGAGTCCCATTAATGTAATGGCCTTTTGTTTCCTTAGGTGGCAGTGGTTTCAGGTAGGCACTTAGATAAGAAGTGGAGACTTTTGAGTATCTATAGGGGTTTTGAAAGTGTCTACAGGAGGGTTTGAAGCCAAAACAGATAGCTAGCTTCACTTAAAAAGAACAATTTTAGCAATTGCTGAGGGATGAATTATGGGCATATGTCACAGCTCAGGGCAGTGGAAAGTGCAAAGATGCAGCATTTCAGACATTCCTAGAAGCAGAGGTCAAATGTCTTTGTCTTTCTGCTCAGTGAGGCAATCAAATACTGTGTTGGGGTCTGTGTCCCATGTAGAGGCATGAGAGATTATGAGAAGGGTCTTGCTCCCTCTCTCATGTACCTGGATGGACATAAACAGTCAGGTGCAAAGGGTTGAAGGATTTTTGAATCTCCAATACTTTTAAGTAATTGCTCTTTGTAAGCCCTTAAAAAAATTAACCTACTAATTCTCACCTTTAATATGACTTGTGCCCCCTATCCCCAGCCACCTGCAACAGGATTTCCTCAGATAATACTGCTCAAATTTCTACAGTGCTTCAGAACAAGTGCTGGGTTCTGAAGCACTTCAAAAGAAGCCTGCTTATGCAGCACTTTTGTGTCTGAGAAGTAGGAGCTGCAAAGTTGCTTGAGTAGTAAACTATAACTACATATCACGTTGAAGAGAGCAGGTGTTGTGTTCTCGTGGATGGACTCTCTACACATGCTCAGATACCATTTCATAAGGAGAAGTAAACCTATGATGAAACTTGCCTCTGTCCAAAAATCATTTTGACTGTCTTTTACCCCAAGCATTATTATTTTTCATAAGGAAGTTTGTGAAAAAATACTAAATGAAAACCTTGTTTTCAGATTGCTTTGTGTTAGCTTCCTAAAGCTGTTTAATACACCTAAAAGATTTCCACTGTAACCTAAACTGCGGTAACTCTAGGTAAATACCCATGTACTGCACTCAGGGGTGGGGTCATAACATAAACTACTTGCATTGCAAGCTTCAACATAGATGGAGAGCAGCTTCCGGGGGGCTTCTACACACCCTCCAAAGTGGGCAAATACTGAGTGGCTATACTTCTGCTTCTCAAAATGCCAGCATGTGTAGCTGAGCCTCTGGGAATGGGAAAATAAGCTTTCCCCTGATAAGGGTTGGGGTGGCTTAGTCCTCTCCTCCCTTTACAGAAATAAAAGGATACAGGTATCAAATAATAACTTTTGATTACAATTCCCAACTGGTCTGTCCCTAGGATGTCGTAAACTATGTGCTATCCTTTGTTCAGTGCTGTGATAACCTCTCAATCTAGCCCAAAATCAAATATTTTTCCATTACTCAAGTTTCTATGTTATAGACATACCATGTCCACTGTCACATGGTTGGCACCTTCGGCACTTCTCCACATAATTGTACTCATCCATGAAGCTAACTCCATTGTTGCACGGTGAACAAGTTGGTGTATTGTTGCCTGTTGTACAATCATGCTCTTTGAATGTACCTTAAAAAAAAAAAGAATGAGACCTGCCATATCTGCTCCCAGGAAAAAAAAACAGATGTGGTTTCTCTTCAACTCTTGCAATATTTTCTAATTACAAGTATTGGCAAGATGAAGATTCCCTAAATGCTGTAGATAGTTTAAATGGGTATGTATCCATTCATGTGTTTTAATAATGTAGCATATGCAGGACTGTATTAAAAAAAAAACTTATTTAGAAGAAACGGAATGAAAATTTAACAAGCAAAATGATATTTTGAATGAAAAAGCATGTGTACAAATGGAGAAGAGTCTTGAGGGTAAGAGAGCTTATATGTATTTCCTGACTTCCTTATGGTGCACATAGTTGTGTTTGGACTTTTCTGTTAAAATCACTTTACACGTGACCTGGGAAGTTATTGGCATAAACTTAGTGAATGCTTAGGAAGCACATTTTATAAGATTTGAGTAGCCTAGTTAGGATTGGAAGAGATAATGGGAATGGTGTTAGTAAAGACTGGACAAATCAGGTATACCCTTAAGGAAAAGGAGCCCAAATAAAAAACAATTAGAGACCAGTCAAGAAAGTCCATTTTGCAGTGCCCAAACTTCCAACTACATGAGAGCACTAAGTTGAAGTAGTCCTGTCATTGTGGGAAATGTGGCTGCAGCCAAGTTCTGAAATACCTATATCCTAGAGAAAGCTATATCATGTAGATTATGCACCAGGGTATAATGCTGCAGGTGGCTATTTCTTCTCAGCTCTTCACTTTTAGTAGATTGTCTTAACATAATACCTACCTGGTGGACACTTCTTACAACAGGTCTTGCCGTCGGCTGCAAGGTGTTGATCAGACTTGCAATTAATTTCTCTTTTAGCAATAATCCTCTTTATAGCGATCTTATATGCAGGGTGTGCTGCAAGTGTATTATTGCTTTCATGCTGTGATCCAGTGCTCCAGCTGAAAACCTGGGATAAAACATTAACATTATTCAAGGACTTGTTATAAATTTAGTTTGTGGTTCCCCTGATAGTGCTATATTGCGACTGTTATTCCTATTAAATATGTTGGTATTTATCACATTATTATATAGCTTATATGTAGTAGTATGTGGAATGTAAGGTTGGAAGGAAATACCTAGTAGGCTTATGGTAAGTCCATCTATTTGATCCATAACAGGTGCTCTCTGTCTTCAACAGATATACCTGGGTATATTTTAAGCTAAGTAAACTAGTGTTTCCAGGAACTGCTTTCACTGCATCATAATACTGAGCCTAGATCTGCCCTTCCTTAAGCAATAATGAAGACCAAATATGCAGGTTTGGGACCTTTCCTAAATCTTGCTATGATTTTTATAGGTACTGAGAGGTAGTTAGCCATTTTATGATGAAGTTAGGGTGTTTATAGACATGCTTCAGGAGGTGGTGGAGTGAGAGGAGTGCTTTAATTAGCACAGCTCCAAGAGCCATGCTAATTAACAGCACCCGGAGCATCATGTGTATCAGTGTCCCCACGCTTAAAAATGGCAGCAGGGCAGTGAGCTTTAGTTCAAAGTGCCCCATCACCATTTTTGAGCATGGGGACACTGATACACATGACACTAGAGTCTGCTGGAGCACAGTAATTACCATACTCCAGCAGGCATGATTAAACAAGTCTGCTCTGATGTGCTGTAATTACAGTATGTTCAAGCAACCTCCCTGCACATGTATAAGACCCCTTAGGCATCTGATTGAAGTGAACTCAAATTTACGAAAGCTTATGCTCTTTATATATATTATTTATATTTAATTAGTCTATAAGGTTCATATCCAGCCTACCTTATTTATGGCCACATATATAATGTACTGAGCTATCATCTTTTGCTGGGATTTAAATAGGTCTGTGCGAAATTTCACCACCAGTTTTGTTTCAACGCTGTTTTGACCTGTTTCGAGGTTGAAACAGCAAAATTGAAACGAAATGGATGTGGTCGAAACAGCCGCGGAACAAAACAAGGCAAGTCGTAATGTTTTGCTGTTTCAATGCTGTTTCGACGTTTCGCCCATAGGCTATAATGGGGAATACTGAAATGGCCTATAACTTTGTCATTTCTTGCCAGATTTGGATAAAACGTGTAGAAATGGTATCCCCTTCTGACGGCATAAAGCATGCCAAGTTTCAAGAAGATAGGTGTAGGGGATTTGGAGAAACTGCACCCTAAAGTCTTGAGAGTCAAACTTGTATCATGTGTATGTGTTAACCCACAGCAGGGTCAAAACTGCAGGGATGCTAGCCCCTGCTGAGGCCACAAAGCCTGCTAAGTTTCAAGGAGTTAGGTGCAGGGAGTTCAGGGAAACTATACCCCAAAATCCTGAAAGCAAAACTCATGTCACATGTATGTGTTAAGCCACAGCAGGGTTGAAACTGCAAGTGTGCTAGCCCCTGCTAAGGCCAAGTTTCAAGGAGATAGGTGCAGGGGTTTGGGGGAAACTGCACCTCAAGCTGCGGACAAGCAAAACTCATGACATGGGTGACACTGTGTGTGTTCAGGAGCAGCAGGGTGAAAGCTGCAGGCATGCTAGCCCCTGCTGAGGCCACGAAGCCCACCACCTATCGAGGAGATAGGTACAGGGGTTCTGGGTTCTGCAGCCCTGCACCTCTGGCTGCTGACAGGCAAAACTCATGACATGGGTGCTTGTGCAACTGCTGCCTTTTATTAGGCAGCAGGACTGAAGATCCCCCATCACTTGCCACCACAGGCCTGGGGGTAATAACTGACTACAGTATGAACATGAGCTGGCAGTGCAATGCTGTAGCTAGCAGGGCCAACAATATGCTGGTATGCATCAATTGATGCATCTCCACAAACACCATTGCAAAGAAGTGATTCTCCTGCTCTACTTGGCTCTTCTCAGCATTGGTGAGACCGCAGCTGGAGTACTGCATCTAGTTCTGGACTCCGCACTTTAACAAGGATGTGGTAAAGCTTGAGAGAGTCCAGAGAAGGGCTACCCATATGATCAGAAACTTTCACGGCAAGCCATACGAGGAAAGGCTGAGGGACCTGGGGCTCTTCAGCCTGAAAAAGACAAGGCTGAGAGGGGACTCAGTAGCAGCTTACCACTACAGCAGAAGTGTACATCTAGGGCTCCGTGAACAACTCGTCACCAGGGCACCCTTGGGGGAAAACTAGGAGCAATGGTCACAAACTCCTGGAAGATCATTTCATGCTCAACATTAGGAAAAACTACTTCACAACTAGGGTGTCACGTGTCGTGCCTCAGAAGGGACTACCATTCCTGCAAGTTTTATCCATATCAGTCCATAAATGACAAAGTTATAGCCTGTTTTGACCTTTCCCATTATATCCTATGGGTGAAACAGCGAAACACGGTTGAAACGGCAAAACATTTTGACGGAACGAAACGGAACAGCCATTTCGACTTGAAACAAAAGTCGAAAAAACACTGTTCTGTTGAAACGTTGAAATGCTGGTCAACATGGAATGCTTCCGTTTCGCACAGCCCTAAATTTAAACAAAAAAAGTCTTATTTCCATTACTGTCCTTTTTGGGGTTTTCACTCACCACTCTAGCTGTATTTAATATTCAGTATAAATATATGACAAAAATAGTCTTCCTTTTTTGTTTCTCTGGAGATCAAGGTCCTGTGTGGTCCACTCTACAGCCTGAATTGGATTGTAGAGAATTTTGTAAAGATTTGGATATGTGCTGAGGTGTACATGTCTTTCTAGAGAGTGCCATATACTGAAATAGAGTATTTTTTGACTAAGAACCATATTCTTATATGGAAACACACACACATGCAACTTACTTAAGTTCTGCTTTTACTCTGAACATCCATTTCTTATCTAATTGTGAGGCAAAGATTTTTGCAGGTGATATCTTTATTGGACCAGCTGCGTGGTTTTTATCAGGGACCTAAAATATCAGAGGCTGATGAAGACTGCCTTGCATTCAAAGCTTATCTAACTTTATCCCAACCATGCAGTTGATCCAATAAATATATCCCCTGCAAAAATCCTTGCCTCTTGCATAATTCTTGCACCATCACAATTACAAAATCACTCCAACACTATCAAAATACAGAAGAGATCTTATCTGTGAAATTCTGATAATGTACTTGATACTGTAGAAGACAGAAAAATGAAGACTGCTTGTTCCAAAGAATTTGTGGTCCAATTTAACTTTAATTTATATTATTTCTTCTGCCTTGAAATTGAGGCAGAGACTTTTATTTAAATAAATGGTAGAGCTGTCTGTTTAAATCTTAATAGTGTTTTTGTCCTCTTTGAAAATGGAGGGTCGTGCATATGGTGGTGGAAACTGCTGAGAGATGATTTTACTGAATGGAAGGCTCTGTGGAGACTGTGGTAGTATAAAAGGAAGTTGCAGGCTATCTCTTATATTGTGAATTGATTTAAATCAACAATATTTAAATCTCATATTTTTTCAGGATTTGAAACAGCAAACAGGAAACCTTGATTTTAGTTGGTAATTGTAATCTTGTTTTGTGTTTAATTAATTTCCAAATAAAAGGTTGATTTTTGTGACTGTTAACTATTCAGCTATATTTTGCAGATGAATATAAACTTTATATCATATTTGGTATTTTGGTTTATCTGACAAGTGGGTAAGATATGCCATGCCCATGCAATCATGTAGCTTAACATGCATTTACTGAGACGCTTAATTTTTTATATTTTATTATGTTAGAAAATGTCAACTAACATTTCTTATTTATAATCATTTATGTTGGTTTGGTATTGAATGAATACTGAATTCTGATTAGAATGCAGGAAACATGTTATTAGTAAGGTAAACTTCTATTTAAATATACTGGACAAAAAAGAAAAATGTTTATCAAAGCATATTTCCATTTAAAACTAATTGAGTATATAAAGAAAGTATTACTTGTGTTGAATTGAACTTACTGGTCAAGTTCTCCCTTAAGGCTAAATATAGACATTCAGAGGTGTTAAGGGGAGGCTAAATCAATTCAAAATAGCTGTGTGATATCAGGTAAATCAGAATGAAGGGGACTAGCAGGGATGCTGGAGGTCTGCTGGGGGATGGAGGAGAGGCCGGACCCATGAGGGGTGGGGGGGGGCAGTGTGACCCACAGGTGAGGTGGGTGGGGCCAGTGCAACCCCTGAGCTCCCCCCACCCAGTGAACCTACACTCCTATTCCTCCTGCCCTTACTTGCCTATACCCCTTCTACAACCAGGTAACTTGCCACCTGGATAAGAGAGAGGAGGTTGACATTGTATATACAGACTTCCAAAATGCCTTTGATCTTGTATCCTATGATGTTCCAATGAGAAAATTGGAGGATTGCAGGCTTAACTGCCTGACAGTTAGGTGGGTAGGAAGCTGGCTGTGGGGTAGGACCCAGAGAGTTTTAATGAATGGATCTGTGTCGTCCTGGTGAGATGTGGCCAGTGGTGTCCCTCAGGGGTTGGTGCTTGGTCCAGTGTTATTCAACATCTTTACCAGTGATTTGGATGTTGGGGTGAACAGCTCACTGGCCAAGTTCGCGGATGACATCAAGTTATGGGGAAGCATGGTCACGCTTGAAGATAGACTGCAGATACAGACGGAGCTAGACAGACTAGCAAGTTGGGTGGATCAAAGCCAGATAAGCTGAACATCGAGAAATGTAAAGTGCTCCACCTGGGGACGGACAATCCCTAACACACCTCTAGGCTTTGCAGTACCAAACTGATGAGCACCATGAATGAAAGGGACCTACGGGTAATAATAGACCACAGTATGAATATGAGCCATCAGCATGATGCTGTAGACAGCAGGGCAAATAATACTCTGGCATGGATCAATCAATGCATCTCAACCAAAACCAAGGAAATGATTCTTCCACTTTACTCAGCATTGTTGAGACCACAGCTGGAGTACTGTGACCAGTTCTGGGCACCACACTTTAACAAGGATGTAGTAAAGCTTGAGAG